CTGTTTCTCAAAGAGGAAGGAAGACGTGCTCTCTGTTTACCCCTAATCCATACTGTTCCTTGCTTTTCCAGAGAGGCCATACCCAGAGAGAGAGAGAGAGACAGAAAGAGACAGACAGACAGACAGACAGACCACCCTTTTTTGGATAAAATTCCCTCCTTTGAGATGTTCAAGTTCTAGTTCTAGTTCACCTTTCTAGCACACTCTTCCCATACTATTGAATCCCATGAAACACCTCACCACCCCTCCCTTCCGAACTCTTCCATGTTACCCTACTTCTGCACTTGCTGTGTCCTAGAATGTCCTTGTTTTTCACTTGGCAGATTGTCCCTTCACATACCTGGAGGTCTCCTCTGGGAAGCCCTCCAGGAGTATTGCTCCAGGCCACTAGTGCTGGTTTCTGGGTCACGCAGTCACATGGGCTGGCAAGCCTCACCTCTGCCTCTGATCTTGGGGCAGAACTGATTTAACTTGATTCATCCTGTCTTCAGTCTGTAGGCTTGGAACAGACTAGAAGTTCATGGAGTGTTTTTTGATTGAATACCACACTGTGGCCTTATCTCTGCCTGACAGTGTGAAGCTACTGGTAGATCTTAGCTGATACATGCTCATAGATTAAACAGATCACAGCCCTCACTTCTCCAGGTTCAGAGAAAACTCTGTGACTCTTGCAGATATGTACTTGCCACCCACTCCAGAGACAGTTCCTGGTGTGTTCAAAGTCGACCCTTGGTACAGGTAGCTGGTAGTTGTAGGGCTTGGGAGGCTGAGGGCCTTCAACTTTGCACCTAGGAACCCTCCATCCTTTGCACCTAGGCACCTAGGAGGAACCTCCTTTTATCCCAGGCTGCAGTGGGTGAGGACTCCACCATCTGTAGTCATGGGTCATTTTAGGCCAATTCTTTCCATTTAAGAAAAAAAGAAGTTGACCTTTCATAACACATATTTCATGAATACTGTGGGGGTAACACGTGAGCGCAGAACACCTGTAAGGTTGCCTAGACATTGATGTATATGAGCTTCAGTTCTCTTCTAAGCATGTGTGTGTAGTAATGTAAGGCATTGAGATGATGATGACTTTACTATTATTTGGTTAATTAAACTCCACGCATTTATGTAAAAGCCCTGAGGAGCATTTAATAAAGAAGCCCCATGCACCCCTACTGCTGATAAGCTGAAGGGTAATGCATGAGACCCATATAAAGAGACCCATGTAAAGAAACCCAGTAAGACCATGTCATGAAAGGGACGTTCTTCTTATTTTGCTTCACACAGAGGCACCAAGAGGTAAAACTCTTAAAACAAAAAGGCCCTTCAGAAAAAACATTCAAATTAAAAAAAAAACAAATCATATTTTGCCACAGTTAGAGAGAGTGCCACTGGGCAGTATTTGCAGAATCCTAAAGGAACATCCCTTGGACACAGTCTCCTTAAATCCGGGCACTAACGATTCCCAAAAGCTTCAGACTTCCGAAGTATGAGCTATAGGGGGTATTGATTCCTAAAGGTACCTTATCAGGGTTCATATATAACTTGTGTGGAAATATGGCTGTAATCCTGGCATAGAACCAGAAGTTGTTATGTTTATTCATGGGAATTAAACCAAAGCTAAGCTTAGAGTTTCCTAGCAGCCAAGGCAATAAAATGAAATAACATAAGAAGGAAGCATAGGGGTCAAGGAGCTCTAAAATTGCAAAAGAGGAAGCAAATCAGATTGGCAGATTGCTGGAGCATTTCTAGTTGACCTCTGAAGGGGAGAGGTCACAGGACCTTGCGTAAGAATGTTGTGTAAGGGATGGTTTCACTGAAAGATGGAGAGCTGCCTGGGTTTAGCCACTTGTCATGCTGACCCTGAAAATAGCTGAGGGCATGTTGAGTAGAATTGTACTTCTGGGAAGGCATAGCTTTATAGGAAGCCTAATAAATAACACATGAAAGCTGCTGGTCAAAGTATGATTCTGGTAATTTCCTTTGCTGGAGATCCACAAGCACATACATGCATTCTTACTGGGAATCTCATTTCTCTGACTTGACCATATTGGAGTACATTTTGCAGATGAAGAAATTGAGGCTCTGAGAGATGAAGAGACTCTACCAGGACTGGCCACCCCAGTCCTTTGGATGGTGCCCTGGAAGAGAGTGTGGAAGGGTCTAAGCATGTCAGGCATTTGGGGCCAGAAGCTGTGTAGTAGACATTGCCTCATCCAGTCCTCTGCTAATCCTGTTAGGAGCCCTGGTATTACTGGAATTTAATACAGGCCACAGCCTGTGGCTGCACAGATGGAAGCTGAGCAGAGCTTCCTCAGCTGGGTTTGCTGATGAGACTCCTGGAAATAGTCTTCCAGTGCAGTTGCACACAAACTGTTAGCATTTGTGTTTTTCTTGGTGACAGGTGAGAGAATAGCTTTCCCAGAGTCTTAAGATGCCACAGAAAACACTGCAGCAAACCTCTGAGCTCCAGGAAGGAGTCATATCACAACTTGTTTTGACTGAGCCCCAACCAGGGGTGGCACAGGCAAGACCCGGGTGACTTTATCACCCACGAGGGCTTGGGGCGTGTGTCACCCCATCTTTTGGACTGTGCACTAGTACGTGGCCTTGACTGATGACAGGTTTAGGCTCTTGTCCACCATTGCCTGTGGCCGCTGGGCTCGTCCTTGTGATGGTGGCTTTTTATCCCTTGGGGGAGCAGAGAATTGTTCTGAGACAGAATGACAGACTGCGTTTCCGGAGCTTGATGCCTGTGTCCAGGCCACTTCTGCTCCAGGCCCTGAAGACAAGCCTGGATAGTTGGTGCATGAGTGAGTGAGCCAAGAAGGCAGAAACCTCTTCCTCCGTGTTGGGGGTTGTAACCATTGATGTCTCTGGTGATTTAAAAAAAAGTAACAATGGTTTTTATAATGCATAGGTTACAGGGTACATATATATCAATATCTGTATATACTATGGGATGTTAGTCACCAAAAGTCTAGCTTCTATTCTTCACCATGCTGCCGACCCCTTTTAAACAAATCGTCTTCTTCCTCCTCTAACCACCCATCTCTTTTCTGTATCTGTTTATTTTTGTTTTGCTGTGTTCATTTTTTTTTTTTTTTTTGGTCTTTATCTCTGCACGAGTGGAAGCATTCGGTGTTTGCTTTCTCCTCTTGACAGATTTCACTTATCTTAATACCCTGTAGGTCCACCCAGGTGGTGGCAAATGGCGGGTTTCTCGCTTTTTAAATAGCTAAGGCTTTTCCACCGTCTCTCCAGACCCCGTCATCTTTGTCCACTCATCCATGGATGGACACTGAGCTTGTTTCCAACTCTTGGCTCGTCAGTAGCTCCTCAGTGAACATAGATGGGGTGCAGGTAACTCTTCAGGTTAGGGTTTCTATTCCTTGGTTTAACACCCAGCAGTGGGATAACTGGATCATGTGGTATTTCTAGCCTTAACGTTCCCAGCAATCTCCATCCTCTCAAGAGAATTCCTGGGGGAGCTGAGGTCAGGCCTGATGTTTTGATGTCCTTGGGTGGGGATGACACAGGGACGGTAGGAAACTCAGAGGCTGTGTCCTTCCTCCCAGGCTGACCATAACGGGTGGGTGGATGGGTGGAGGTGGGTGTGCAGCTCTCTCCCATGGCATGTGACATTCTATAGCTCGTGGCTGTTCTGGCCTGGCAGGGTCCCCTCACTTGTTGCCCTAATACCCAGTATCTCTTGAGACCATGGCCCAGCTCAAGCTGCTTGACGCCCATAGTATCTAGCATTCTGGTGTGAGCTGGCTGTGGGGCACAATTAAGACAGCAGCATCAGCCCCATCTTCTGGGTGAGGCCACAACTAGGGAGCCTTAGACCCACACATCCCTGTCTCCACATACTTACATGTCCAGGAAGTCTCTGGAAGATGAGCCAGGTTTGGGAGGGGTCCCTTCTCTCTCCGGCCGGAGAACTGGCGCTGGCCCTCTGGGTCACGGTTGTGGCTTTCCCTCCTGCGTAGTGAGAGCAGGTCTGGCTGACCGCCCTGTGGGTAGCATGGCTACCTCTGCTGTGCTCAGTTGGTTGGGGAGACTTGACCACCAGCTGGGCCTAGGAGCTAGAAGTGGGGCTGTGATTTTGGGAAGTACAAGTTGAGGTTTGCCACTTCCCTGTTCCACTCTTCTGGATCTGAACTTTAAGAAAAGTGAGAAGACTTCTTAGCAAATGTGACAGGAGCCTGGAGTGAAAGAAAGAGTGGCAGTGGGATTGAACCAGAGAGCAAGGCCAGTGTCTGTGTCCATGGCTCTTGTTACTAGAACAGTCCTGTTCCATCCCCTGCACTCGGCAGGAAGCCCCTGGAGGCCTGAGTATTTTTGTTTTTGGGGCCTGCTGCCTGTTGGATGTCTATTTGAATGAACGAGTGATTGAATGAATGAGTGTGCACTTTCCTAGGAGTTAGGAAACTTGCTTTCCAGGTTTGTCTGCCCCTAATGCCTTTGTGACCTTGGCGAGTCACATGCCCTTTCTTAACCTCAGTTTCTCCACCCGAGCTGGTCTTCCAGGCCCTGATGTTCTGCTGTTCTAATTGAGCAAGGCTCTTAGGCTCTGGAGGCTGGAAGGGGCTGGGGTTCTGTGAGAACGTGTCCTGCTTTCATGCAGGCAGGAGGAGTCTACTGAGCCTTCTGGCAGTGGAACACAGGACAAGGGGCAGCAAACAGGTGAAGAGGGTCAGTAGGTTGGATAGACCGGAGGAGACAGAGAGTGCAGATGTGGCCAGAATGCTTGTTGGCTGCAGATGCAGATTTTCCATGGTAACTTAGTTTTGACTTTCTGAAAAATAACGCTCTCAATTAATTCCTGGGCATGACAGCCTCTTGTGAGGGGTGGGGTGACGTTAGGGGGAGGGTGGGTAAGGCAGATTGGGTAGAACCTGGGGCAGGAAGAGAGACAGGGCAGCAGGACCCTGGGCCCCAAGTGGGGTCTCCCCACTGGGGGGCTGCACACCCCTGCTCACTGCCCCTTTGCCTTATGTTTTCTGCAGATCATCATCGAGTTCTGCCCTGGGGGAGCTGTGGACGCCATCATGCTGGGTGAGTCCTCCTGGATCTGCAGGTAGAGCCGGGCTGGGCCCTGTCCAGGGTCGGAGCCCTTCTTTCCTCCGCCCTGAAATTTGTACAGCCTATGTGAGCATTCCTCACTTTGTCCCCTTTCAGGACTAAGGGTTGGGTCCAGAGAGACACTGGGGGCACTCACTGGAAGTCCAGCACTTCCTGTTCAAGAAGTCATGTGTCCTTGAGCTGGTTACTGGCTTTCTTGAGCCCTCCTGGCCAGAGGTCAGTGGCCGATGCCTTCTTTGCCTGACCCCATAACAGTTTTTGGAAGTGAGTGTGAGACACCTAATGGTGGGTCTTTGAACAGTGGGGACTCACACTCATTTTGCCAGAGCTCCATGGGGTTGTGACCTCAGGCAAGTTTGACTGGCAACTATAAGTTAATACATGTTCGTAATCATCAGTGTTTTGTGACTTGACTACTCTGTGGTCAGAGATGGTGCTAGCTGCTTTCATGTGTCTTCTCCTCATGTATAAAACCAGGAAGAGTAGCTCTGTTTTGTTCTCAACCAGACAGGTATGTACAGGTGAAGGCACTGATCTATGGAAGCAGAGCAGATATGTGAGCTCAGAGCTAGGTGACCCCACTTGTTTCTTGCTCATCCCATGTCATCTCTTGCTCGTGCCTGGGATGCCACCACTGGTAGTGAGTGAGGGAAGGCTGAGGGTTGGTGGCCAAGAAGGTTGAGGATGCACCTAAAGATTCTGGGATGAGGGGCCGCCCTGGTGGCCTAGGGGTTAAACCTCAGTGCTGTCATTGTGAGTGCCTGAGTTCTATCTCCTGCCCCAGGAACTAACCCTTATGGCTGGCAGACCTCTCCTGACCCACCCACTGCTCCCCTCAGCAGTGTATTTCAGTACACCTGCTTGTTCTGCTCCCCACTCCGTCTCTGGTGAATCCTCTTCATTCCCCTCCCCCCCACCTCCGGCCTACTCCCCAGCTCTTCTACACTAAAAATAAAAATAAATAAATAAAAGGTAGGGGATATTGGGAGGGGGATTTATTTGCATAAAAAACCTGATGAGTTCAAGGAGACTGGCTTCACACACAGCAGGATCTAGGAGTTGTAAAAAAGTTGTCATAAGGATTTGGTTTCCTTCTCCAAATCTTTGTCCCACTTTCTTCTATATTGGCCTCATTCTCATAGTGGTTTTCTGTTCTTGGTGACAAGATGGCTATGCGAGCTCCAGTCATCACAACTGAATTCCAGTCAGTATGATAGAAGAAGGGAAGGTAGAACTCCACAAACACACTCACCATTGTTGAAGTTTTTAAAGAAGACTTCAGAGAAGTCTCATATGACATTTCCATTTCCATCTCTTTAGGCAGAATATATCGCAAAATACAACTGGAAAGGAGGCTGGGAAATAGGTTTCCTAGCTTGGGCTTCAGATCCTAAACATGAAGGGAAGAATCAAAGCCAGCTAGCCATATCTACCTGTCTGGTTTGCAGCTTTGCTCAGTGAGCCCCGTGGATGATTGTCAGAGATGGGAGAGGCATCTAAATATCCTTACCTTATTCACAGTGGGCAAAATCACCCTTTGACTCCCTGTCTCCGTTCTCCTGCTGGAACTGACTGCTCCAGTCTCAAACAGTTTCTCCTGTTGGTGGGAGCATTTAAAAGATGATTGCCATCGTTATTCTAGAAATCAGAGACCCCAAAGAGCCAAAGCTATCTTGAGACAGAAGAACAAAGCTGGAGGCATCCTATTCTCTGATCAAAGTATGTTTGCAGTGCTACAGTAGTCAAAACAGTATGGTACTGGCATAAAAACTAATGTACATATAGTCAATTATGACTATATGAACCAAGGCCATTTGCTGGGAAAGGAAAGTCTTTTCAGTATGTGGTGTTGGTAGTCTTGTATTCCACCTGTGAAAACTGGACAGCCATATCAAAAAAAGAGAAACAGAACCATTCTTTTATATCATACATTAAAAATTAATTCTGGCCCTCCCTGGTGGCGCAGCGGGTTAAAGCCCTGCACTGAGAAGCTAAAGCCACTTCCGTATGAGTTCGATTCCTGCCTGCCCCGGAGGTGACCACATGGCGCAGCAGACCTCTCCTGACCCGCCTGCTGCTCCCCTCAGCAGTGTACTTCGTCGATCTGCCTGTTCTGCTCCCCACTCTGTCTCTGGTGAAGCCTCTCACCGCCCCTGAGCCTTTGGCCTGTACCCCAGTTCTGTATGCACAAATAAATAAACCTTTAAAAAAAATTAATTCTAATTGGGTTGAAGACTTGACTGTGAGACCTGAAACCACATAGGCAGTAAACTGTTGACACTGGCCTTGCTGATGATTTTTTGCAACCAAAAAGCAAAGGCAACAACAGCAACAGAAACCCAAAAATAAACAAGCGCGACTACATAAAATCCAAAGGCTTCTGCACAGCAAGGGAAACCATCAACAAAGAGAAAATATTGGCAATTCAAAAATCTCTTAAGAGATTACTATCCAAAATTTATAAAGAATGCTTCTAATGCAACAGCAAAAAATAAACACCCAATTAAAAATGGGACAGGAAATGTAAATAGACATTTCCCTGAAGAAGACATAGATGGTCAATAGGTACGTGGAAAGATGTTTAATGTCGTAAACTTTGGGGAAATGGAAATCAGAACCACTACTAAATGACCATCCTCACGAACACAAGGTATTTCTTGTGCTGGAGAGGATGTGATGAAAGGGAGCCCACGTGCACTGTTGGTAGCAAAGTAAACTGGTGCAGCCACTGTGGAAAATATTGTGGACATTCCTCAAAAAGTTTAAAAAGTAC